CCTTTTCACTGTTCTTCCTGAGAAGTTTCAAGATACCACTGTTGGATGTGTTGACGTAACTTAGGATTTAATTTTTGGCCTATTTCCTCTTTTGTCTGCTTGTCCCACTCCACAATTCCTGTTCATTCTTTTTTCTAGTTGGAAACAGTTCAGGGCCGGCTGTGGCCGTTTGGTTTTAATTGGAAACTTTCTCTTTAAATTTCGAGGACATCTGTGCGCATGCATAGTAGAACCTTCTGAAGGTGGGGCTGGGGTGCCCACCAGCTCAGGCTCCCCTATAGTCACCTGAATGGAGGTGCGCAGATAGCAAGGGACCAATGAACAGATACCAAAAGAAAAGAATGTCCACACCTTTAGCTCCGATCCTTCTCCCATGTGGTCTTACCCAAGATAGTGGCTCCTGGAGCAGCCGAGCGTCCCGGACTTGTCCCGGACTAGAAAGCAATAGATTTCTTGCTTCTGCCACAAATTACCCCAGCTGTGAGCCTTCCAACCTTCTAAATACTCCTTTATATGAGGTTCAAAGTTCTGGGAACAGCCCCTGAGTCTGCTTGGTCGGGTATTTTGTATTGTTGCTGGCGGAGCTCCTTTACTGCATGTCCACCCGATCCACCATATTGTTTGTTCTCATTAGCATTTGCTTGAATTTCTGTAGTAGTTTCCCCTAACTAGTCTTTCTGCTTACTCTTACTTTCCTCTGATCAATAATGCCCCCATGGATTTGTGTTTTAAAGTCCTATCATACTTCTTCAAATTGTTAAAATTCTTTATAGTTTTCCATTGTACTTACAAAAAATTCAACTCCTTATCCTGGCTTCTAAAAGTCCTATCATCATGACCTCATCCTTATTACCTTCGCTTCCCCTTCCCACTCTATCCATAGCCATTCTGTTGTTCCTAAAATTCACGCAACAATTTCTTTTCTGCTTCTAGATCTTTGTCGTTACTGTTTGCTTTTGTCCCAATCTTTCCTTCACTTCATTGGGATTTCTGCCTTACCTGGTCACCCTCCCTAGAAACTGCTCTTATTCCAATTTATCTTACCTCTTTACCCTGACTTATTTTTACTGTATCTGTTAGTACCTGGAGCTGCTTATTTAGTTAGTTATACCTAAGTACTCAGAACCTACAATAGGAGCTAAAACTATTTATTGAATGATTAGATACATCTTTCGATCCCTGGACACCAAGGATTATTATGTGTTCCATTGGCATTGGTTTCTTTACATGGACATTTCTGTAAACCATTTTTTTCTTCATTTATAAATCTAGAGGATATTTTTTTATGTCAGTTACAATTTTTAATAGCTTTATTGAGGCATAGCTTAGATACCATGGATTTTATTTAAATTTGCAATAGATTTACAATAAACTTTTAGAATTAGGCAAATATAATCACTATAATTTTAGTGTAGAAATTACCATCACCATAAAAGAAAACCTCATATGTGTTTATAGTCACTCTGTGTTCCTACTGCCCAGACAACCATCAGCCAACCTGCTGTTTCTATAGATTTGTCTTTTCTCAACGTTTCATATAAATGAGTTACTACCGTGTGTGGACTTTTGGATCTGGCTGGTTTGTTTTTGATGCTTAACTATATTATAGCATTTACCAGTACTTTGTTGTTTTCTTTAACTCGCCAGCAGTATCCTGTTGTGTGGGATCATGGTGACTCTGTAGGATAAGCACTGAACTGCAAACCACAATGTCAGCAGATCAAGCCCATCTGCTGAAGCCCCTCAGCTGCTCCACAGGAGAAAAGTGAGGCTTTTTGCTCTCACAGATTTACAGCTTCAGAAACCTTATACAGAGAAACCTTATACAAGTTCGCTATGAGTTGGAACCAGCTCGACAACCCTTAACAACAACATCCTGTTGTGTGGCTGTACAGTGTATCACATTCATAGGCTGATGAACATTCATTCGTGTCGATGTTTTCATTTGACATGGGTAGGTGGATGCTTAAGAGAAGAATTGCTTGTTGTTGTTAAGTGCCATTGAGTTGGTTCCGACCCATAGTGATCCTAGATAGGGTTTTTGATGATCAGCTAGTGAGCTTGAACTGCCAACCTTGCAGTCTAGTGCATTAACCCACAGAACCACACCAGGACTTGTTTTGTTTTTAACTTTTTATCATCGAGGTTTTCAAACATGCACAAAGATGAAATGATAGTATGTTGTGCTGTAATTCACCCCTTAAGTTGTACTTTTCCGTGGTTTCCAGTATATTTAGATACATGCCCCCACCACCACAGTCAGTTACAGAGATCACTTCAAGAAACCCATGTCCTTTAGCATACCCGATCTGGGAAGAGGAATCAAGGCATGAGTACCATCTTGGGGGTTTCCAGTATGACAGAGGAGTGCCCCTAACAGAGACCAATTCATTTGCCACAAGGGCACTTCCCAGAAGGAGAGTGCAACCTGAGTCACCGGTCACCCTTAACTGTGCTTAAGTGCATTTAGTCACTAGATTACCTTGTGAGCAAAGGCTAGTGCCCCAAGATAAGGTCATTTGTGCCCAGTCCAGTGGCCACCCAACAATTCTCCCCCGTCCGCATGGAGCCCTGATTTCCTTTCCGTTGTTCCTCTATACTTTTTCAGTTTAGGTTATACCTTTTGTAAATTGGGCATTGACTCCTGGTGTAGTGTGTAGTAGGATAAGCACTGAACTGCTAACCCCAAAGTTAGGGGTTCAGTCCTACTAGCCGCTCATCACTATGATTCAGAACTGACTCAGTAGTACTTAACAGCAACCACTTATATTTACCGCTTTTTTGCATAATACAGGTGCATAATGTAGTTGCCATTTAATGAATCTTTACTGAATAAAAGTGAATGAATGAATGCAAATAAGCAAAATAAAAACAAAAAACGATCATACTCAGGACATTATTGTAATTTGCTCTCTGTGCTGCTATTCCACACTTTGAACTTATTTTCCTTAAACTAAGGTACTTTAACAGTTACATTGTTGTTGTTGTTGTTGTTGTTGTTGTTAATTGCCATGGAGTTGATTCCGACCCGTAGTGACCCTGTATAGAGGTTTCCAAGGAGCAGCTGGTGAGCTTAAACCACCGACCTCACAGTTCAAACGACTTTGCAGTCTGACACATTAGCACACAGCACCACACCAGGACGGGAGTCTTCACGTGAAGTTTTCAGTACTATCCCCCCTATACACAGGGTAGATAGGGATGGGCAACTTAGACATTGGCTACCTAAAATGAGGGGGCGATAAAGGCTCAGAGTGACTGGCTTACAAGGTTTCAAGGGGGAGTTTAGTTTAAGAGTGTGTAGGGGAAGAAAGAGTCCCCATTGAATAGTTTTCATTTTGTCTAGCTGGGTCTGGTGAAAAGAGATGGGGATAAGATTTGTATGATTCAATAGTGAGTAATTGTTATCATGACTAATTACGACTGTCACAGTTGTAAAGGTAGAAGTTTTGTAACAAAAAGAGGGGAGTAGTTAATCTTACAGTCCAGAAACAAAGGACCCTGGGACCATCACAGGAGAAGAGCACAAGGGAATGTGAGACCTTATCCAGAGAAGCAGCAATACCAGAGATGGAGGCAGAGATGGGGACATGGAGAGAGGGAGCAGCTGAGGACTCTAGATTCATGGAAGAAAGGCACTGAGATCTGGTGGCCAGGAGACAGACTTTCAGAATGTGCCTTTTGGTGGTGTAAATTACTATATATGCCTGAGTGTTTAAAAAAAAAAAAAAAAGCTAAAGTGAATAGAAAGAAATACTGTTAACTGATGGTATATGGAAAAGGATTATA